ATATCTGAGGTGGCATCTTCTTCCTCAGTGGAGGTGCTCCATCTGCCAAGGGCCAGGGACATTCCAGGAGTGGTGTCCTCAGCCTCTCCAGATGAAGCCATTCTACTCTAACAGTTCCTCAGGTAGCCTGAAACATTCCAGGCTGGGTAAAGTGAAACCACTTTTCCAGCCCAGCTTTCTCCAGCACCAGCCTGGGGAGATCCCAGGTGCTGGGACAAGGCAAGTCTGCACAGCTGTGTGCTCCCCTCCAAGAGCTGTTCCAGCTCCTGCTTTCCCTGGGACAGGAGGACCTCTAGTGGGTCTGGAAAGCCTCCTCATTCCCTCAGGAGCAAGGGACAGGGTTGCACAGCACAGAACGCCCTAGAACCTGGCAGCACTGACTTGCTGGACGTGCTGAGCCCGAGCACTGCCACAGATTAGGATGAGGGAAGTGCTAACGCTCTGGGCCAAACTCAGATCTCCTCCTTCCTTGGCACCTGCAGGAGGGACCATGGCACATCCGCCAGGTTTCCCCTGTGCCAGCCTCAGCCTGTGCAGCCCCTCATGCTGCCATGTGCACCAGCCCCAGTGAGCTTTGCATCCTCATCTACTGAGCATCGCTGGAGGCACCCTGCCCTGCCCTCCCTCCCCGCATCCAAACCAGAGCTGCAATTTCGCCATTGCTCCCCAGAATTCTCCACCACGACCAGCTGTGGTGCAGAACTGACCTTCCCCAGCGAGGGTACCCCTGCTTCCTGCAGGGCTGTGCCCGGGGAGCCCCGGCTGCGGCACAGCCCGCGGCGGGGGCGAAGGAGGATGGGGGGGAGGATGCTCCGAAAGTGGTCCAGGAGCTGCAGCGCTGGTCCAGCATCGCCACCTGGTGCCCAGTGCCCGGAGATCAGCCGCCGCTCCTCTCCAGATCGATTTTAACAAAATACTGCAAACAGACTAAAGGAGGACCTGAAAAACTCAGTCTTGAGTGCAGCACAATTGTGGTAGTGGTTCTCCGAGAAAAACGAGCAAGAAGTGAGCAGTTAACAGTGAGTTACAGTGTGCAAGGGGATGCATTAGTAAATAGTGATTGCATCAGCCCAAAAAACCCCTTTCAAGCTGGCTGGCTCACTCAGCACAAAGGGGAGAAGGGGGACAGTTTCCAGTCACACTTGGCACTACATTTGTGCCCAGGACTGTGTGCTGCATCAAACTCAGTTCCTGGCATCCTTCAGAGAGCTGGGACTCCTTGTGCACCATTCACCTACATGCCAGCACACAGGAACATCTACAGTCAGGCTGGGCTGAAGAACTAGAAAACAACCTTGTTACCCCTCTGTATTACATCCCTTATTATAATCTCCTTACCCCATATATGCCCCAATCCACTGCCTTTGGCATCCCCAAGAGATGTCCCTGCATAAGGAGAGGGAATCCATTACCAGAAACTTCAGTTTTACCCATCTGCTGCTTTGCACAGCAATGACCTTCTACTTGTTGAGCTATTTGGGCCTCCAACCTTCAAGGACAGGTAAGAGGAGTCAGCAGTGCCAAGAAACCTTGCAGGTTCAGACTTTAGTATCCCATGTTAAAGCACCACTTGCTCTGCAGACTGCACACAGGGCTCATCCCACACTGCAGAGTAACTCTAATCACAGACCCAAAGGACCACTTTTGTAAAAGTATGCTTTTCTTCTTATTTTGAACCTATCCTTCTAAAAAAACATCCTTCCTTGAGTACTGTAAACTTTAAAAACTTGCTCAACACAGACTAAAGTTCTTCATGTTTGAGGGCTCAGGTGACTTTTCCATAAACTTTGTGGAATAGAAAAAAATACAAAAATATAGCATGCATTAACAACTTCAGCCAGGAAACAAGACAAGGCCCTCTATCCATTTAGCCTAAGATGAAATTTGCAGTTGCATGAACACACAAATTACAAGTTATTCTGGGACAGATAAATTCAGTGGAATTCAAGTGGAATCAAAATAGTACTGAAAAAATTAGAAGAAAAACCCCAACAAAACAAACCAACTGGATCACAATTAAAAAGGTCAAAAATTTATTTTTCCTTAGGGCATAAGAGGCATTGTAAACAAAATACCAACAAACAAACAAACAAATCACAAGTCAATTCTTACAGTCTGCAAGCATTTGAAGATAGAGTACCCTTTTCCCACCTCCCCCCAAACACTGCAAGCCTGCTCAAATGGTAACAGGCAACAATCCTGGGCCCTGAAGGTCCAGGGAGTTTTTACATATCCCAAGCTGGGACTAAATTTCTCATGTAAGAAGGACACTGCATCTGTTTTATCAAACACTTAAAAAAAAGTCGAACAAAATATAAATATTACAGACAAAGATCAGATTTAGCACCACCTTTGGTCCAAGCAATCAATGAACTGGGAGATGACAGGTACAGTTTGTTTAGCAAGTCCTTTCTGCCTGAGTCTTTGAAAGCATTAGAGGTTCATATTGCAAGAACTTGTAACTTCTCTGAGAAAACAGTTGTCAAATTCTGGCAGTCCCTCACAACCTCCCAGGGTCCTGCACACAGGAGGGGGGAGTATCCTGGCTGGGCAGCAGCACCCAGGTCAGCAAAGGTCACTCAGAGTGCTTGGCTGAGCCCTGTGGGACATGGCAAACACTGGCCAAGGGTCTGCTCCTGCTCTGGCCCAGCAGAGCTCTGACTTCAGGCACAGAGCAGGAAGAGCAGTGACAGCATCCTGAATTTCCCTTTCCACTAACATCTGCCCCCCTCCACCCCCTGTGAGATGCCAGGGTGGGTGATGGCAGATGCCTGGAAGGAGCTGACGTTGCCTCAATGCAAGTTATTTCAGCATATCTGGAACATGCAATTCAGGAGTTCTTTTATCAGTTGTAGTTTACTCCAAGGCCTTTTTAGGCTCCTCATTTCCAACACACACATGCCCATCAGACACATGGCTCTGAATTTTTGCAAAGAGATGTCACTGACCAGCACCAGTGTATGCCAGGACACAATCACAAGGACCTGTGATAATCCTAGAAGAAAAATTAGCTTCATAAAGCACCTGGCCATATTTTATGTTTCTTACAATTTCCTCTCCTGTAAGTGTCCAGAACTCAAACTGTCTTCTCCTTTCCTGCAGGAATTTTTGAGCAGTCCTGATTAACTATTATTAAATGCTGTTCGGTTCCAAAATAACATCTCTAACAAATGCCTATAGAGAAATGCTGAGATCTGCTTTTAGGCACAGTAATCTGAAGTCTTTGTTCTGCATCTCCACATGTACAATTTCCAAAGACAGATGGTGTTATTCTCTGTTGAGAGACCCATGCCGAATTTCCACCTTTACAAAGACATTATTAAAATTTCCCAAACAAGCACTAGTTTTTACTTCACTGCTTCAGAACACGCTGCTCTAGGGGAAAAATCCCCAACCTCAATTGCTTCACATTGTTTTGCAGTTCTCCGAGCAAGCAGTTGGTCATGGCACAGAGAGGAGGGCAGCCCCTCTGAGTGCATTCCCTGTCCCACACAGGGCAGTGCCACGAGGACAGCTCTGAAATAGCTCTGCACTGGGCACTGCAGTTGAGTAAAGTCTGCAAATCTGAATTAAGGGGGAGTTTATGCTTTTCACAGCTCATTCCTCCCACCACTGTCATATCCAGAGCAAATGAAAACATTGTACTATGATGATTTCATCAACTCTTCCTGGGATAAAGCCACACTTCTGTTGTCCCAGTCACAGAAACAGGCCCCCAGTACCATATGTATCAGCTAAATCCAAACAGGTCCCAGCTGATTTGTGCTGAAGCCTGAGGGAAATTTCTAGAGAGTCATTTGGCAAAAAGGAGATCTGTGTTTTCCTCACTGCTAATGCATCTTTTGTGTTGGCCCACAGAAAAGTTGCTCATTTGGTTAACTAGTACTGTAATGTGCATCCAGTCTTTACAAATGTTTACACACCAACTCAAGACTGGTCACAAAAAGATCTGTTTTGTGCCAGTTCAGACAGACTGGGGTGTCTAATCCCTCATTAACAGTAACTCTTACCATCAATGGCAAAAGATGCTGTTAAGTGCAGAAAGTGCCACTTTTCTGGATTTCAGTTTTACTGGGATGACTGAGAAACCCAAATTTTTTTATCATGTCACTTTTCTGGATTTCAGATTTTCATTTTCAGGGATGACTGAGAAACCCAAATTTTTTTATCATGCATATGATTGCCTGTTGTAGGAAAGCCTCTCATAGACTCAAGCACATCTGGACCTTTGCAGGAGCTGTTCATTGTACAAACAGTTTTATCCAACTGGTCAGCATCTCAAGTTCATTAAACCAAAACTGAACAATGCTTGAAACTACAGTTATTATTTCTGTCCCTAGCTCACATTTGTTATGGCATGCTGTGAATGTCAAGATACCTGTCACCTCTCTAAGAATTAATTCATGACCAAAAGCTTTAACGTTTACATGATCAACAATTTTCACTCCACTGCCTTCAGTGGAGCTGGATCAGAGGCCACCACAAAATATGGTCCAAAGCTGTTATCACAAAAAAGGATTTCCCCAGACTCATTTTCTTCCTCTCTTAGTTTAACTTGCAACCCAAAACAAACTAAATGGTCTCCTGCCCATAAACTCTCTTAAAAAAACCCCCAAAAACAAACAAACAAAAAAAGCTCTCAGCTAACTCCTTCTCATATTTACTGCAACAGAAACCACACCAACTTCTAGACTTTCCCAAAGCAGAACAGACAAATTGGTTCCCATATTAAAAACAAAACAAACAAAAGACAAAAAAGTGTCACCAACTTGACCACACACACACTAAGACCAGCCACACATTTCTCTATCTCTGGTCACCGACATACTCTCCCAAGATTCCAAGCTCCACCAGGTACATTCCCACCACCTAACCACTAAAAAATGGAGCCCTACACCAACACAGAAATGACAACAGCATCTAGTTTTCAAGGTCACATGAAGAACATCAACCACCCAAGAAACCCATTGCAAAACTTCACTTAGACCAGGCCTAGATCCTTTTTTATTTTTTTTTTCTTTTTGGTCAACTAAAACTTTGGGACAGCAAACCTCTAGGAGCTTCCATACAGACATGTGCCACTGCTCTGCTAATGCAGAGGAGCACAATAGCTCAAACAAATTTCAGCCTTCCTTCACCAATAGGTTTAGACTCCCAGTAACTCACTACCCACAGTTTGCAGAGACAATCTGGGCTAATTAACAGCTCTGGAAACAGCTACAGATGTACACAGGCACCTGAGCTGCTTTCAGCACGCACCTGGAGTTACCCACATCTGACCTTTAGCCTAAGCAGCAATCAATCAAGCTGCTGGCAGGACTTCTCCTGATATGATATTTGATACTGAGCCTTAAGTGAGGAGGCTCACTTACATTATTCTCCCTAAACACTGCTAGCAGAGCAATAAGCACTGCTGTCTACAATTAAATCTGCACTGAAGGAACAGCACTGACATCATGTGCAAGTCAGCCAGACAGCAGAAATGCACTTTGTACACTACTGACCCCAACACTCACTTCAGACCCTCAGTACAAAAAAGTCATTGTAATGCTACACACACTTAGCTTTTGCAATATTCCAGGTTTGAACTCATCACGAGTAATGAGCAGGACTTTACAGCAAGCCTGTTCAGCATGACACAGAAAAATTCCTCCTAGTAACTGGAAACAGAATTAACTTCCTCCTTCCCTGAAAGTCCAGGACAGGAAGTAGTTAAGTCACCTATTCACTGAAATACTTCATTTTAAAAAAGGTTTATTTTTCTTTTCTTTTTTATTTGTTCCAGTTTATTAATTTCTACAGACTAAGCTCCAGTGACTGCACTATTCTTTTCTGTCCTGCTTCAAGGGGACAGAAACAAACCAAATTAATGTGTTCTGGGGGACTCAGAGTCAGGACAGAATTCAATGTCCCTCTAGTCATCACCCAAGTAATAAAGAAACAAAATCCCATCATCACCCTGGGGTGATGATGGGATTTTGTTTAGTTATTACTACTTCCCTGGTGACCCAGAAGCAGTTCAAGAACAAGCTTTCCAACCACAAAAGAACTGTTTGCACAAAGAATGCTGCCACATTGCTTACTTTTCAGTCATCAAATACAGAGTCAATAACAGCTTTGATGGGGAATATCTGGAGAAACATGAAATATTTACCTAAATATTAAATGTTATATTTTAAAAAATTTCTTACAGTGCCAAGTGATTCTCCCTTCCACCCATTTTTCTCCTCCACCAAACAGGGACCAGGACAGGTACCATTGTAAGCAAATAACCCCGAGGATCAGGGAAAGGTCACTAAAGCCAACATTTTTCCAGAAGCACTGCTAGCACTGGGTTGTTCCTGCCAACATGGACAGGTCCAGAACAGCCATGCTTGCCCAGACCACCAGCTGAACCTCGGTGCATGCAAACTCCCAGATACACAAACTGCCTCAAGTACAACAAGCAGATAACCTGCGTTTGTCTTCTCTTGGTGGATAGGTGGCTTCAGGATACAGATTATCTAGTATATTAGGGACTGAAAAAAATCAACTTTTGTCAATAACAAAAAATCCTGTCACAGAGCAGTGATGTATTTAACCCATCTATACAGAGAAAGCACCTGCAGTGTCAGACCAAAAAGTTCATGGCCTTATTAGAAACATCTTTTTCCTCATATTTTATCTATCTCTCCCCCTGCCAATATAGTTACTTCTAATTTCTTTTCTAATTTCATTCCAAATGATCACCATAATTCCCATAATTTTAATTCAGTAACAAACAGGAGTCTCAACTCAGGACAGTAGTGGCTTATGCTGACAAAACAGGTCTGTAAAACGCCAGTGTGAAGCTTTAAACCAAATTTATTTATAAAAAAACCAAACACAAAACAGAAAAAAAATTGCACTCTCCAACTAAAAATCAACACTACCTTGATGCAAGAACAAATGAAGAACATAGTTGATGGGACCAGCCCAGCCCTGACAATATAAAACGGGGGAAACTAATTAGTTCTGACTGTGCCAGCCGTGTCCGCACGCAGTGCGGCGCAGCTTCCGCGCCAGGAATTGCTGCAAGGGCACCCAAGAGAAAAGATCTCCTCGTTCCACCCTTGGCACACCCTGCAAAACTGACACCCGAAAGCAGAGTTACGGGTGACTTTTCACAGACACCTGTGCTTTGCTCCAAATTGGGTCCTAGATGGAGGAGGAAAAGCAGCAACAGCAACCTACATCCCAACCCTAAGTCAGCTGACTGGGGGCTTCTGGATCCGGCCTTATGTACAGTACTTTATTTGAAAATTACACACAACAGACACGACTACTGAGCAGCAGAGAGGGAGAGAAAGAGCAACACAAGCACTGGGCAGCGTCAGCAGAGGCCATCAAACAGTTCAAGTGTGCGGACACATTCCCCATGCATCATCGCAGTGCTGGTCCCCGCTTCTAGCAAGCAACAAAAAGCAAATAAAATAACTTAGACAAACATAAGCTCTCAGACCATCATACTGGTACTGATGGCAGCTATCAAACACTGCACTGATGCACAGCACTTCACTACGTGGCTAAATAGCATCTGAAGCTGACAGAGAAGGAGCTGCTGGTGACGGAAGAGCACCAGCAAATAGCAGCAAAGCTCCAGCTGGTTTTGAAGAGCTGCAAGATTTGCAGCACAGTGGATCATGGCAGAGCAGCACCAAGGCTAAGCAGACCTGCGCACCCTTTGGAGGTGTAGGAGCAGAGTGCACAGAGCGTGCTTGTGCTGAGAACGGTCCATGCTGAGCACCCACAAGGGTCTTCTGTCAGTGTAACTCTACTGATGCTCGTGGGCCTCTTGCCAGTTTAGACTGGCAAGAGCATGTGAAGAATTAAGCTGGCTCCTCAAAACCAGATTCCTAATTGGTAAAGTATTAGAGGTTTTCCAAAATCATGTGTTTGATACTGTTTCAGTCCAGCTGCAGAATTCAGTTTTTCTGTTTGAATGCAAAGGTCTCTGGTAATATTAAGGCTTTTTAACAAACTTAAGAGCAGCAGGACAAAAATTAAGCAGAAAACTGAGGTACATCTCTCCAGAGTAATGAACTAGAGCCACAGGAGATGTACTTTCCAGAGCTCAGAGAGTCAAGTGCTCTGGCTTTCACATTTCTCTTGCACCTTACAAAAATAGTCCAGTTTTTCAAAGGTAGTAGATTTTGCTGCTACCTGTAAAGTCACATTATTTTTGACAGATGGAAGTTCTCCTTCCATTCAAATAGAATTTAAGACAATACCTCTTTTGAAGAGCAAAGTTTCTGCCCAACTTTATTTAGGACCTGAGAGATCCACCTTTGCAAGCCAAGAAATAAGAAATCAATATCCAAAACATCTGTGAAATTTGCAGGTGAGAATTAACCTAGATAAAAGAGAGACTTTTTCTTCTTAGGTTAACAATAAGGACAGAAAAGTAAGGACCTGTGTAAAAACATTCCCATAGCTCTTGCAATAAATACAAGTAACAATGTAGTAGCCAAACTTGGGACTGCACCAGCAGAATTGTTTTCCCTTCTGAAGCTACCACCAAATCTGAAGTGCAACAGAGGACGTAACCAGCAGAAACAAACCAGAAGACAGAATCATCAGAATCATGCATGGATGACACACAGAGTGTTTCAAGCATAGCTCAGAAGTCCTGTATTGATAAGGATGTTAATGCACATTCTATACCATGCTGCATAGTCCTTATACTTCCACTAACAGGTGGTACTTGTTTATGGAAAGCAGCCATTCCCAACCCAAGCCACCCCAGCTGTCAGTCTCTACCCACCCAAGGGTCCTGTTTTCATCCAGTTGCCCCCTCTCCTGAATTTCCCCTTCCCTAAGAGTGCATGAATAGAGAATTGCAAACATTTCACACTGCACGTTCCACTCCAAGTCCTGGATGAGGGGCCTGTTTATTCTATGAATATTGCACTTATCCACTCATTGGATTTGCTTTTTCTCAAGAATGCAGAATATTTGGGAAAAAATAGAAAAAATAGTAGGATACAACACAGGAAAATATGAGTTATTAACAAGCTAGCTATGAAGATCTAAAATTAAATAGTACTAGTTCTATTCTGTTAATACTAGGAATATGAAAATAATGAATGCTTTATCAAATTCCCTTGTTTTTCATATAAGATAAAAGCAGTAACTTTCTTTTTAACTGAGGAAAGCAATGAATATATATTACAATAAAATATGATTCATTAAGATCTGAAAGTGATGAAAACAATTATATAATGCCTTCGTCAAACTTTATAACATCATAATGGAAGGAGTCTTTGGGGTACACATCCACAAGGGACAAATGCATTTTTTAGCTATACCCATGCAGGTGTGAATTTCCATTTTGAGGAGTCTAGGTGCCAGACAATTCCAATCTTTCCTTATTGTGTATTTGCTACTATTGAATGCATCAATTAAAAAACTTCCTGTTGACACATCAGTTAAGTACCCCAACGTGTGCCCATCATCTCTTTTATCTTGAAAGGTCTGGCTTGCAAAGGACTGGTACATAGGACTACACTCACCCATTGTATGGGGTGACAGCTAAAACAATGAACAGGAATTGCCGCCCATGGGGAAGGACTCCTAACAAAATGCATGACTTGCTGTTATGAGAAAGTGTTTTGAAAGGGGAGACAAGGGAAACCAGCAAATAAACTTTTCAGGCATTATATAAACCTCAATAACGAACTCAGAAGTGCTCATTATTATTAAAGTTGCAGTATACAGCAAGACACAATTTTCACATTCTTTAATTTTGTTCTCTGGCATTGGAGTTTGGAATTTCTGCTGGTCCAAATTCAAGACTTTTTGGAAAATACAGAGAGTAGGTGAGAGCAAAACAGCACGAGCAGCTGCCTCTCCCCCCAGAGGAGGGCCCCCTTCAGCTGCAAATGGCTTTGCTCAAGCCCTGCAGACTCTTAACAATCTGAAAGAGAAATTTAAACAGTACTATTGATTTCTGCATTGAGTGTTCACTGAGGTGTACATTACATTTAAATATTGCTCTTGATCCAGTGTCAGTTCTGACAAATTTAGTAAATAAAAGGCGACATTAACATTTTTAGAAAAGAGCTAAAACATTTCTAGCACTACACTGCCCTCTGAGTACTCTGCCAGGTTTTCCTGCCCTGCAGTCAGCTTTTTGGATGTAGCTTATTAAGGCATTTCCCTGTTTCACAGCTAAGAGTGAAGGGCTTGCTATTTTGGGTATCAGTAGAACTGACCACAACTAGCTGCTCACTGATGGAAAAAAATAATTATTTTCCTGATATCTCTCAGTTGAAAGCATCAAAAAAAGGGAGAACACCTCTGCGAGAGATGCTATGACAATGGTAAGACAGGAGTGGGAAAAATTGCATTGGGAGTATTTGTTTTAAAAGCGCCATTTTAAACACAAGCAGCCCAAACAACTACCAAGTGAAGGGAAGCCCAAATGGAAGCTTTTCCACCAGGGTGGAAGCCAGCATGCCAAGTGATGGCCAACAATAATTTCTGGCACCAAGTAGGCCATCTGCACCCCATCCTTTTTGCTGGTACAGGTGAGGGCAGAGAGAGGCCACAAGTGTGGCTCTGCAGCCCATGCCAGAGCTGTAGAGGCAAGCCAGCAAGATGGAACAGGAGCTGTGGGACAGACAGACGTCTGTCTCAGGCAGATCCTGAAGCCTCCTAACCTGAGCCCCACGGAGAACTTGCATCCACCAGGGCCAGCCCTGTGCAAGGCACATGGCAGCCAGGCACTGGAAGTGTCTGCCAGAAACACTTGTGCCACCCCACACCCTGCAAGGACTCCTGCAGCTCAGAGGTGCCCAGGGCTGGGCTTTGCTGGATGCAAATGTGAGTGTTTCCAGTAGTCTGGGCTCTTCTGTCTCCTTGCTGCTCTTCCCTCCTTGGATAGGGGCTCGTGTCAGACCATACCATACTCAGAGAATTCAGTGGCTCAATGCAGAAGATCTGGGAGCTGTGCTTTACATCCCCCCAAAGAGATGACCTAGTGGGAATGTCTTTAAACAAAACTTTAGAATATTTTAAATAATAAGTTAATTCTTAATAAATATGTGCTTCAAGAAAATGATAATTATATACTGCACCTTTAAATAATGCACTTAGTTCTCTGCATTGGCTTCCATTTTGGTTTCTTTTATTGTTAAAGTGCATTAATTCAAAATAATGAACCACTTCCGCATCATTATTGTTAAAATAAATCATAACATTAATACGAATCACTAAGTCACTACTATTAGTACTGCAATCTAGCAGATAACTCTATGTATTGCTCTATTTAATACTGTCCAGCAGAAGAATATAATACTTCTATTATAATCTCACAACAGCTCCAGCAGTCTTTTATGGCTGCTACCTTATTAGTACAACTAAAAATGGGGAGAAGTATGAGAGACAGGGCCACAATGTCTCAGACACACATCCAGTGGGATGAAGCTAACTGGACATACCCTTACACATCGCATGGTGAGACATTAAGGTACAAAAGGACCCCGCACTGGGACATGAGCTGTTGTGCAGTTACACCTCCTTCTCCTGCCACCACAATTTAAAGGGATCCCAAACAAACAGCCTCCCCTCCCCACCTGCACGCAGAGAGCTGCTCGAACCACAGCACTGTTTGTAGCCTGTAGCTGTGGCACCTGGATGCTGTTTCAGCTACCAAAAGGACATCAGCCACATTAGCTGTAGGCAACTCTCTCAGTGTTATCATGGAAATTAATAAAACCCCCAAACCACACACACACACATACACACAAAAAGAAAAAAAAAGAACAAAGGAAAAAAATGAAAAAGACAAGAATGACATATAAATTTCCTATTTTTTTTTGGCAGTGAAACATCCCCAGTAACATATGGTCTTGTTGTGCTGTTTTACTCAGCCCCTTGATCCCAGCTATTTTGAAGCCTTTATAACCTTTAACATCCAAGCCAAATCAGTATGAAACTCTGGTGGAAAAAAGGACATGTAATGCTTTGTGTAAACCAGTAGTGAAATGGTTTTCTCCCCCTCCCCCCATCTTCCCTTAGAACAGTTTTACAATGCTGCCTATTATTTAAAGGAATTAGATATTGAGCTCGAGTGATTAACAAGGCCATTTAAGAAAACCCCCAAGCATGACTTCCTTAAGCTCAGTAGGGATTTAGTAAATTATGTTTACTGTACAAGGCTACCTCACAAATAATTCCATGTTCCTAGCCTCTTCAAATGGGTACCTTTTCCACTTCACACCCCACCTACACTGTGTGCCACATTTCAAAGTACGAGTTAGTAAAGGCAAACAGAACTGGAACTAGAAGAGGCAGCTTCCTGGTTAGATGCATTGTAGACCAAATTGCTTTGATATGAAATCTCTGAGACTGATAAGCCCAGGTCCAATTTCCAGTACAAATGTACTCTTTGGATTCAAGTGGGAACAGAAACACATATTTGGCTCCTAGTTCAGTTTTAAGTCTTTTCTGGTAAAACCAGACATGCACACTAAGAAAATACAGTAAACCCAGAAGCACAGAAATGACAAAAACAAAACACAAAAGTAATTCCCCCAAAATATACAAATTATGTGCAGACTGAGTTTGATGGCTTTTTTTTTTCAACTCATTGTAAACACTGATGTTGCAGAAGGTTACAAATTTTTCTCACTAATATCTTGGTGGGCCCTGCCAGCAATCAGCACCCTTGGATTTTGGACCAGAGGGCAAAATAAGAATAAACACATCTGACAGCTTTGTCTTTAGCGTCTTAAGGGACTTTGTTGACTTTGATAACTTTTGAGAAACCTAACTCTGGGAAGAGAATCAACCAGTGTCACCTGGCAGGAGTCAGGCACAGAACCAAACATGAAGCCTACACAGCAACAGACGTGTTTAAGCAAGGGGTTTGTAGTTTTGTTTATACAAGCACCAGTAGGCATCACTGCCCTTGAACACCTGAAATCCCAACTCAAAGAACAAGACAGAATGAAAGGAAACAAAAAGCCCCCAACCCACACCACCTGACGGCCTTTTCCGGTGAGTTAGCCGTAACAACACTGAAGTCAGAGACCAAAACTCTCCATGATGAAAAGGCTCCAACTCTGGACCTACCATCTGTTGAGTAGAGTAAAAAAACCAACAACAACAAAAAAACAAAAAAACCCCCAAAAACAACAACCAAAAAAAACAAAACAAAACAAAACAAAACAAAAAAACCCACAACAACCAAAAACGTGAACAACATCTCTAAAGGATTAGAGTCCCTCTGTGTTTCAGAAACTTTCATTTGCTTCTCACTTTAAGCTGTGGAAAAGCATCCAAAATTCTTGGGTATTCCACGTATTGACAAAAATGAGGAGAAAGGGAGCCAAGATTGTAAAACAGTTTGGCACAGAACTCCCCAGGTAGATGCATGTGTATTTCTCTCACAAAAGGCACACATTTGGTTTCCTATCAATGGGAAGGATGGGATGTCATACCCTGTTACACATACAAGATTATTAACAACTTCACAAAAAGGCATTTGACTATGCTGCATCTTCCTTGTAGTTGCTTACAACATGTAAACCCCACAAACCTCTCCAGAACATGGCAGATTTGTCCTCATACAGACTCCTTTGTACAAACTGGAGCACAGGAAAACGTCTTTTTGTGTAGCAATTGTTTTTTTCCACATGTACACAGCAGGAACAGTATAAATTAGGGAGGTTAAAGATATTGCAACATTAGTTCTTTTTCTCCAAATAATTTGAGGGCACCCAGCCTTTGAATGGCTTCACACCATTCATTATCTGGCAGTACCACCAGCCATTTGGGTTCCTTTCAAGGACCTCCATGCAGACACCTTCCTGAAACCCCGCAGTCTCCTCATCCCCTTCATAGTCCGCAATGGAAACATAGATGTCCTTGAGATTGTTGTGGATGAACTGGGATTTCTCAATGGGCTTTGGCCTGACTGTGGACACAGGGATCCCATTCCTCTGCGTGGGGAGGTTGGAGGTGGTCTCAGAGCTCTCTGTGCCCAGCCGCTCCGGCTGCTGTCCCTTTGTGTCACCGGGCTGCGACCACGCGTTGCTGAAGGAGGAATTCCGACGGACGGTCCTAAGTTGATCTGTAGCTGTTAGAGACTCATTTCTGCGCAAGGAGCATGACAGGTTGTTGTCCTTTGGTGGTGGAGATACAAACACTGACTGCGGACGGACAGCAAGTTGCCTCACACCATTCCTCATTTTAACTGGCCCCGATGCTTTGGAAAAGCCACCAGGAGGTTTGCTTGGGATGGGTGGTGTTGCACGTTTGCTCTGGTTGATGGTGTTCAAAGCCTGGACCCTCTTCTCTATCTTCTCTAAACTGTTTGACTTGTTTTCATTTTTCTTGTTCCTGGCAAAAGAAGAATCAGTCTCTGCTGATGTAGTTTCTCGTTGGTTATCAGGGAGAGCCAAATAATGGGAAGGAGCCCAGCCTTCCATGTCTCCATACTTCAGGTACCACCATCCACTGGCTTGCTTTTCCAGCACTTCCACTTCTACTCCTGCAGGGAAGCAAATTTCAGAATCCTGTACCTTTTGGTAGGAGTCAGTGGTCACATAGAAACATCTGGAGTCATTTTCTTGCTCAGTTTTGGCAGTCTGGCTGGAGCAGAAGACGCCACGGGAAGGAGCTGTGATGACATCAGCCGAGCTTCTCCGAACAGGGTCATCCTGGTTCTCAGCTGTGCGGGGGGGGCTCGCAGACTCTTCACTTCTTGAACCTTTGAGTCCACCTCTGAGCTGCCCAGTTGGCCTCAACTGACGCCTTAAAGTGCTAATATCCATCTTTTCTTGGCTCTGAGAGTCTGCCTTGCTCAGGAAGGGCTTGGGCCTAACAATTGGCTTTGCTCTGATGGAAGGACTCTGCCCGGGATCTTTCTTCATGCCTGTTCTTGGCACGCTACGTAAGCCGACATCTGAAGCTGATCTTGGTTTTGTCTCCTCACTCCTGGAATAGTGACATTTTCCAAGATCAGGCTGAATGTTTTTGTCTGTCTTGAGCTTCAAGAGTGATGATTTCGGAGAGCTGGAACATGGAGAATTCCTTCGGATCAGGGACAGAGAGGAGCTTTTCTGAGAATCCGAATCCCCACTAGATTCTTTGTTGGACAAAGCATCTTCCACGTAACGCCTGAACCCCTCATTCTCATAGATGGTTTCTTCTTCATGAGCAACTTCTTCTGAAGACTCTCCTACTTTGAACTTAGCTTTCTGAAGTGATGACACAGGTGAGGGCTTGAGAGGCTGAAACAGTCGTTTTTCAGGAGTGCCCTCTTCATGGTGACTTTCACTCACTTCACACTCCGAGTCAAAGCCAAAGGCAGGTACATCATACTCAGGTTCTTCGTATTTCAGCTTGTGGGGAGAGTCCTGGGTATCTCCTGAAGACACTGCTCCAGGAGTTGTTCCGTCTTCAGAGTCTTTTGGTTTACTGGGAGGCGCTGGGGGAGGAACCTTTGGGCGGGTTAAAGTACTGGTTCTTCTGTTCAAATTTGGTTTCTTTCTTTTGTCAATGTAAGATGCTGGAGCCCATCCTTCCTTCTCTCCAATCTGCACATACCACCAGCCACCAGAATTCTTTTCAATAACCTAAGAGGCAACAAGGAGCATGTTACTTAGACAAAAAATCTCAACTCACTGCTTCCCACTCCTCCCCTTCCAATCCACTCCCATGCAACAGATAAATATTACAATTTTTCCAGATACATTGTTAAGGCTCACCTCTGCTTTTTGTCCTCCACGAAAGCTTATGCCATCAGAGATGCATGACTGGAATTCAGCAATGGTGTAATATTCCACTTCCACGGATGGTGGCTCTGGTGGCTTGGGTAACTGAAAACCCTATGGCAAATAGGATGCTTTGTTCATTTAAACCAAAGATACAGTCAGCTAAATAGCAGTATGAAAAAAAAAATTGCTTTTATTCACTAAGACACTTCCTTCTTCCTGTGCTGCTTCCTAATGCTAACTGCCCAGTTCCCCTGAGCTGGTGTATGGATATGGGCTAAAAGAGAAAAGCCTTTCAACATATGCACTGTTCATGCTACTGTCACCTACTATTAAAAATGTAATAATCTTTACCTGAATAGTAAAATGTTGTACTTGTGGGTGATGAAGTGTGAGCTGCCACTGCAGTCACACTAAGAGCAGCCCATTTATGCTCAGATTTTGTCCAGAAAGACTCAGCTCTTGATGACATGCAGAAAATTGCATTGCAACAGACGCCTAACAGATTCTGTCTGTCATTAAATACACTATCTTAAAATGTAATCCCAACGAATTATTGCTCTGTATCTGCTGCTGGACTTTTTAAACAACCTGAATTAGTGAGTGATGTGAGCTAATGGGCATCTCTTGCAGCAACAAACAAGGAAAATATCATAGACACCCTAGCTTAGCCCAGCTAAAATGCTAGAAGGGAAGGACTTTACTGCTTGATCAAAACAATTCCAGTTCTTCCCCATAATAGACCCAGAACCTCTAATCAGTCCCAAAACAACGTTTGTAAAGGCTCTATGAGAAGTGGGACACTGCTATTTACAGCTATTCTGGCAGCATAGCAGACTCCTCTAAAAGCTAAGTGCCTTTACATTAAGCTGCCACATTTTAGAATTTGCTACAATTATTTTTTAAGGTGATAAATGGGAAAAGGGTCCTTTCAGGTATTTCAATATTAAAAGCTTTTCAGATGAGCACAGTGCTCATCTGAGGGCAGCAAGGTGAAGCTGCACAGCTTCTACACTTCTCTACTTCGGGCTCTGTGAAAGAACCACAGGTCAGAGCATCCACAGACAAACACACGACAGACAAAGACACAAAATGGTACTGAGCCATCAATGGGAGAAGGGCAAATCACATACTGTGCTTTATTCTCCTGCTCCTCTATTTCTATGATACCCTTTCTGTAACTAACAGCTCATGTTTCATCACGCACAGCATGTGGCATTTCACAGAGAGTGCATCTCTGCACCTTAGGAACCGTGTCTAACAATGTTATAATTGGATGTTTCTGCACTATAAATGCTGAAATACAGCAGAAGCACAGCATAATAAAATGCCTTCAGATAATAGGATGGTTTGGATTAAAAGAAGATAATTGAAAACAGCAGATATGCTCAGGGTTTCACATATAATATCACTGTTATTTTTAGCATGGGATTAAGTGCCATAGTCTTGCCAAAACAAAGTCTAATTGAAAATCATGCAAAGAAAAATAGGAAAAAAAATGCTAATATGCTGTTCATGTAGTTTGTTAAGAAGCATCTCTGGTGACAGAAAAATTAGAAGTCGCATACGGCTCATAAAGGGTACAGCAAAGATTAAACACTATGTATTGCCCAGATAAACAAGCTATTAGCATGACTTTTTGTATAAATACACTACTAGTATTTATAGTTCCTATTGAAGATGACAGTTCTAACCTCAAATTGGTACAAACTTCCAGGACTCTAGCTTTGGGGATAAGAAATCACAGGGGGTCTTGTTCCTGCAGCACACATCCTTCCACAGGATTCTGAGCCACTTTAAGCACGCACAAGAGTGAAGCTTAGCCACCTCACAGGGGGCAGCAGTGGAAGGAGGGGACATTCCCAGTTGCTTAAGACAAGAGAAGGTCAGAAATTGCAGTCTGGGCTAAAGACACCCAGAAGACATTTAAACCTTCTGAGTCAGCCAAACAAGTTTTAATGCTCACGCACAGAACACAGCAGCTCTATGCTATTCTCCCTTCAGACCTGATTAGTTGGGGCAACATTTTGAATAACAGAAAACATGATTTATCACTAGGATGCCCTGAGGTCTGCTCAACACTTAAACAATGAAATGAACAGGCATGCAAATAAAGGATCCCTCCCACCTTGTACAGCTGCACAAAGTCCCACAAAGCACCCAGACACCTACCCACTGCTAAGATAAACCATAAACCAATACACACCAGACTGGACTCTCTTCGTGGGGGTGGTCTTGTTCTTAGATTTGGAGAACCTGAGCAGGAAAGGGAACAGGGAGAATTTATTTAACTTCGCAAGTACTGCTAAACACGTTTTTCACAGCTCTCTGCTGTTACACAGTTTGAGAATAGAAGTCAGTATTTGCAATATTTAAGGCATTTCTATGAAACAAGATAGGAAACTATGAGGGTATATTAGAAATACCAAGGTAGCTTAGCTATTCATCTCTGCTAAGCCAGCAATTTTAAGAGGAAATCGCTGCCAGAAAGCAGTGGATTGTATTTTGTGCTGGAACTGACCAGCTCCATTGGAGACTGGCCAACAAAGGACTGACTAATACCTATTTTTCCCCCAGCAGTAGAAGTAATTCACTAAACACTCACACTGTCCTCTCTCCTAGTATTTTGCCATTCCTTGCACAGAATAGCATCAGCATCTGCATTTTGCAGATAAAGCAGTAAAAACATTATAGCAACTTGCCCCCAGGAAAACAGCAGAACAAATGCAAGAGATGACACAGGTGGTCTCCTCAACTTGAACGTGCTATCACATCATCTACATTTTTAGGGTAGAAAGGCACATTTTAGAGTGTTCAAAAGGTAGAGAACAAGAATTCATTGCAAGCCTGTGAAAACCTAGACCACTTTACTGCCTTACTTATTTGAGCTCTTTGTGGTGCTATCCTTGCTATGGCTGGGGATCCCTGGGCCAGTTTGGAAGCCTGTTTGTCTGGAGTCATCATGGCATTGCCATTAGAGTCATTGCACAGGATGGGCAAACTGATTTCCTTCTTGGTGATGTGAGTTTCTGCAGACTCGTTTTCTACTTGAGCTTCCTTGTCAGTAGATGATTTCTTGTTCAGCAGGTTACTGATCTCCATGATGTTTCCTATGATTTCCACTGGCCCAGTTAAGTTCTTTTTCCTAGATGGAAGATCATCTTTAGCCTTCTTCAGATATGAAGCTGGGGCCCAGCCTTCTTTGCCCAGATACCTGGAGAGGCAAAAGGAAACACCATCACACCAAGCACAGCTTTCTCATGCATTTCAGGTAGAACAGCTAAAGCAAAAGTGATGCATGAAAACATCAAACAAATTTTGCAGTTCTCAGACAAGATTTTGTAGTTTCTACTAATTTATTATCTATTGATTAGACATATCAAAGTCAGTTGAGCCAGCAGTGAACTGTGTAGATGAAAGCCACTAATCATCCTAAGGAAGGAGCCTTTCTGGAAAAGAAATAGTTACACACAAGGTAAAGAACTTCCAGTTTGTTTTATGCCTCCCCTAGACAGCACTAGGCAAACTTAGTATTTTCCCACACAGCAAAAAAGCAAACTAGTAAGTAAAATATTTTTATAGTTTTTAAACTTCCTAGTGGTGACTCAAATTGAAAATGAGCTAAAATAAGGGTGTCCAGCACCTTGAACAGAGAACCTGCACCTGTAGTTTAAGATCCTTGTGCAAGCCTGCCTCCCTGAAACTATAAAAAACACTGGCCCTCCTTCCATAATTCCCAGCTCTGCATGAGCAGCTTTCTGCCATGGAGCATGTGGGACCCTTAGACTACTGCAGCTTCTTCTAGCACTGCAAGATCAAGAAACAATTTGTCTGAGGAAAAATGGCTTTGATGGAGACTCATTTTCCTGAACAAGCTAGAGGCAATTTGAAGAAATAAACTGGGAAATACGAACAGACACCTGAATCCAGTACGTGTTTCTGAAACACCATCCTGAGCTGATCATGCTACACTTCAAACTGAGGTAATTCTTCTACAACTGGGCTTTAGGGAAGATTTTTTTTTCTGATTCCTGCCATTCCTAACACCTCAGCAGGGATTTCAGATTGCAATCAGACTCCAGGGAGGACCATGTGGATGAACTCTGCTTTCCCTAAAGAAACCCTAACTTGCTACAGTGAGAGGCACTGAAAACCTCCACTCCAATCTCTCAAGATACCCAGAGCAGGCACTTGAACTGTAAGTGAGAAAGCAGGCATCATTAAAACCCTGGTGCTCAGGAAATCTGCAGGAAATACAAGGGTTAAAATAGTGGGACTCTAAGGTTCTTTATCGAAAAGGGAGCCTCATTAGACAGCAGAGGAAAGAGCTGGGGCACATGGGATATGAGCAAATCATTTCCTGGCAGGTGAGCATCTCTGTCATGACAACACTTGGATTCTGAGGTTTCCAATGAGATTTCTGCATCAAATCTTATCCTGGTCTTCCTCACAACATCCACACACTTGAGAGTGGCTCTGGGACTTTACAAGGAGAACAAGAAAATGCAGTGTAGATTTGATTCTCTAGACTTCTTTATTACTCTTCCTGTATAAAAGCAAATACAATTCTAGCAATGACTACAAGGATTTTCTGTCCAAAAATTTAACCTGAAGTTAATGCTCAGCAGTAGTTACCAGAAACTACCGGTTTATTTCTGCAATACCACAAATAAAAACTACTTATGTAAATAAAATATGCTTACATTTTTTATTTTGGTCCTTGAATTTGTTAATCTTTAAGCCCTTTGAAGAATAACCTTGGAATATTCCTTAATCTACCCCATTTTATAGGTGAAAGAACTAAAACAACTCTTAATCAATTTGGCAAAGTCCTGACCCAGCAATAATTTTCATTTTACATCTTAAGAGTTGACTCACAAGTATCCTTCCTTCCTTTATATTCAGAACCTACTGCAGACATTTGAAACTCCATCCTAGACTCCTCCTCATTTCAGTGCTGCCAGCACCTCCCAGCTGTGCTTCATTCTCATGGGCTGAGGCTCAGAGCAGCCACAAAATGAAGGCCATGGAGGCAAATAAAAAAGCTTTACTTGGCATATTGGTACCAACTCGCCCTGCAGTCAGTCCACTTGGGCACCACAAGATTGTGTCTATTGCTGCCACCTGGAGACAAAGGAAGATCTAAATGAGGGATGCTGATGCCAGCTATGGGCACACTGGGAAGCACAGACCTACTGAACTCAATACAGCTGCAAGCAGGATCCCAGGACAGAGCCTTTCTGTCATTTCTCCCTAGTCCTGATTTCTTTCTTAAGTCATAATGCATGTGGGGCAGCATAAAGACAGACACCAATATCGCCTCTAGCTTGTACAGCACTGAATTGGGAGGGTCTCAGAATTAGGTGCAGTGATTTGGTTCCTTCATGCTTCCAAAACCCTCCCTGTTTATATTACATGAAGGAAAAAATGGATTAAAACCATAGGAATGTTAAAAAAAGTCAAAAGTGCCTCTGTAAGTCTGAGAGTCACATCTGCTTTCCAGCTCCAGAGCACTGGAATTACTCCAGAGGGAAGCAAACTAGGGAAATAAAAGAAAAAAAGTTAAAAAAAAGAAAATTTAAAAAAAAGAAAAGAAAGAAGGACAGGAAATGAGGATCAGCACATGGCCAAGAATTTGGAGAAATTACATATTTAAGGTGGAACAAGCTAATGTCTTTAAGGTGGATTTCATTTACAAACTACTGGATTTGTTTTTCTCTCTACACATTGAAGTGTGTGCTCAGTCTGTAATCCAGCCCAGGGTTCAACTGCATTCTCCTCCTGCTCCCTCTCCCCTCACACTCACAAGAGGAGGAGGAGTTGCTCCTTCAAAGGCACTCCATACTCAGAGAAGCAAATTTCTGCAGGAAGGGAAATCCTTTTCTGAAGGGTTCAGAACAGCATCCAGGGCGGTCTACACGTAACAAACAGCACAACAAGCTGGAGATCAGCTACCCAGGCTGCAAAGGACCAGCTTGCAGGAATGGATCACATCATCCACATTTCTGGAAGTGTTGCCCATGGGAAAAACCCCCTGTTTCTAAGAGATTAATCCTCCAGGAGGAAAGTAGCACAGTGCAGTGGAGAGGAGCACAGCGGGCACCCCATATACTTGTCACACATGCAGGGAGCACATAACATCTTCCAACAAGAAGAGGGGTTTCGTAAATCAAAACGCTTCTTCCAAAAATGCCAAGCACATGCTGCAATCCCCAACCATCACAGGGTGGCTGGGGTATCCACTGTCCTTCCAGCAGATTGCCATGAATGGAGATGCCATGGAAACCACTGCAGCAAGTGCCATCAGGCTCCAGAAGGCCCTCCTGGCATACAGAAAAACGTCTTTTGGGTTGACTCAAAGAGGTGTGTGAGAAAAAGGGGAAAAAAATTCAACTAACTGTAGGAGTGCTAATATGGCAAAGGGAAACCTACAGTAGTAACTAGGCTACACTGCAGAAATAAAATAAAAAAATAAACTAGAGGTGTCTTGCAATGGTTCTCCCCTCAGAAAAACCTACGTTGTTGATTCCCTGATCTGAAACTTTGGACTCCACTTCTGTAGGCAATTAACAGAGAAAAAAATGTGACCTGACCAAACCCAGGCATTTTTTAGCTCCTCCTATCTAGAGTGCCTTCCTGGCTCCACTGCTATCTTTATTAGCTTATTTGCTCCATAGGATCATTAGACAGAAAAGTGAGGGTTTTTTCCTTCTAAGTAATGGAAATCAAGAAAAACAACAACACTGCTTCAGTCAGCATTTTCACAGTCCTCATCCATAGCCAATAAATCAAGCAGCATTCAAACAAAAGCAAGCTATAACTTGGGGAGGGAGAGAGGACAAAATCACTATAATTACATGTTGAATGGAAAAGATGACTATATAAGATGTTCTGCACTGCAGAGAGATAAACCTCCATTTTAAGCTACTTGTTGTATCACATCTTGTTTGAAGAGGAATTGGATGTCACAGCACTGAGAGGTTCACACACAGATACAAGGGGCAGAACCACAGAAGAGCACTAAAACTTAAATGCTGTGTGAACCTAGATGAAGAAAACTCTCATCAAGTGCTCATCCTGACACCCTACATCACTGAGACAATATCTAATCTACAGTCTCCCCATAAGCATTTACAAAGGAAATTCTTAAGTGAAAACTCTCTGCTAGGACTGCTGTTCCAACTAAATAACAAAATCTGATATACAATAACAACTTCACCTGCCCTTGGAATGCAGTCCCTCTACATTAGGAATGTCCAATGTACACAGAAAAATATCAAAGCAAATTAGCTGAAACCATGGGTAAGCTGGTACAAGGGCTATAGCCAGCAAACTGATCTTGTGTCCCTAAAAGCAGCACTACTTGCCCCAAACAGCTCAAGAGATCACAATCAGCCTTTCAGCATTGCTATAAATAGATTTAAATAGGTTGCAGAATAACTCTTATACTAGAAATACATTAAAATTATATACAACAGAAAGCCTTGTTAGATTTCACAGATCTTAACTCAGATATTGGCTTTTAACGTGAAGCAAGAAAAAAACCCTCTAAAACTTCAAGTTAATGCATTTCCTCACTGGAATGGTCCACAGCCTTTGCAGACACTGTAGTGTTACTTTGGTCACCTTTCTATTGCCTCAGACTTTTCTTTACATTTCTTCAAGAGGCATTATGAACAATTTGGGCTTCCCTGTCCAGCTACAGAATGATTTAAATGCTAACATGCAGTGAACGATCAGAAAAGCTCATTGTCACATTTTCTGTGGGTTGCACAGCCTCTTTACCTGATGTACCACCATCCTTCCAGGTTCTTTTGGATGACCTCCACGGTGACCCCTTTTTCGAACCCAATCTCATCCTTCCCCTGGCTGGCGTATGGCTGGATAGTGACATACTTCTCTTCTGGTGAGGGGAGAAAAGGCAACATCAGTTAGGGTCAGGATCAGCCCAGCTGGTTTTCTGCACTGCTTGCTTTTAAACTGTTATGCAGCGATTACGTGAAGCCATTACAGAGGCGGAGCCCGGCTCAGGGGCCCACTGGTTATTTATGCTGACGACATGACAGATAATCAGCCCCTTGCCACTACCCTGCTGCTGATAATCACAAAATGTTTCCATGCCAATAATGACACAAAGTCCCCAGAGAGCTCCCCCCTCTTCTTCCCTCCTCCCTCCCAGTTCCTCGAGCGGGTAAGGGAGAGGATTTGAAGCTGGACTTAACTCCCATACTGTAACTTGACAGAATCAATCTTGCTGCCAAATCAGCCGAGCATCACGGCGGGAGCTGCAGCCAGTTGGCTCTTTGCACACACACATGGCTGCACGAAGCATTGTGTTACTGAAACCCGAGCACTGCATCCCCAGAGGGACACATCTCCCCAGCCCAGAGGGGCTGGCCCAGCACGCTGCTCTCCTTGCACCTCCCAAGCAGCATAGGTCTACAGCAACAAGCTTGAAACATTGAAAAAAAACGTGACAGAAGAACAAAAGAGATCTGCCTATGACAGGAGGCAATACAGCATTTGCATTCATATGTTGTGAAGTGTTTTACAAACATACTTTTGCTAAATCTGACTCCAGAGAAATGCATGTGTGACACTGGTGAAGGAGGGCCAAAACTAAGACACACACTTCAAAAGCACAGACTGGATTTCAAGTGCAGTGTTGGAGCCAAAAACTTAGCATCCCTATTCATCTCCAGCATCTATCCCCTTCCCAGCTGGGCAGTGGTTTTAAGCAGACTTGCTGAGAGCAAGCCAATAAGCAGAGCAGAACAGACACTTGTCAACATCTTCTTCCACCTACCCAGGAGTCATTTACTGCATCATTCCCATTACACACAAGGTCAACCTTTCTCTCTGGAGCTTAAAAAATTACACCTGCCATTGAAAACTCGAACTACCATCCTTCCTCTGCAGCAGCAGACATGGAAAATGTCACAAAACCCTCTCCTCAACCCAAACTATGGTGCACGTGACAGCATGAGTTTCTGTAGCTAGATTAAAGGCAGGGAAGGCAAACAATTAAGTGCACCCCAGCCAGCCTTCCTAGCACTTCCTACCAGCAGTCACAACAAGGCAGGGAAGAATAAATGGAGGGCTGTCAGTGCAGAGGAATGGGCAGGAAGTAAAGTGAATCCAAAGCTCCTGATCACTGCAGAACAAAGGAGCTACGAAAAGGCTGCAGCAGCTTGAAGCAAGATCTCTTTAAGAGAGTAAAACAGATCCAAGCAGCTGTTTGCTTTTGCAGCTCAACTGCATTTTGTTGCTGGGTGAAGCATGGAAACCTTAATGAAAAATAAACCAAAGCCCTTGCTGAGACAAAGTAAGAAATAATACCTCAGGAAAAGGAAAATAATGTTGACAGAGCATATGGTGGCAGTGAATTCAGCAAAGCTACATCTCTGAAGTCAAGTTCCCTTCACTGGTCACATTTGGATGCTTCTAATTCTGATGGGGCAAAATCTGTCAAAACCTTTGCTACCAAGAGAAAAAGACTGCTGCTCTCCCCTAGGAGGGCTGCTTATCACTGGTAAGAAATTCCAGCTAGTTTGTAATTAGCACCATCAGCTCATGGCACCTTCCCCACAGAAATACTCCACTACAAGATGGGGCCTGAAAAACGAAACCTGGCAAATGAAATCCCAGCTTCCAAGTCACAGGACAGGAGACATTTCCTAGCTAGGTTTCTGCTCTGGGGGGGTAGAACTGAACTGATTTTTCCTCTGTTTTCAAGTCTGTTGCAGAAGGAGCTAAGGAGCTCCATGTCTGGTTTCCACTGCATGCAAAGCACTAAACTGAACTGCAGAAGACCCTGGGCAGCTAGATCTTGTCCCTGTAAGGGCTGAGGGAAAGTTCAGAGTTGCTCTGTCCAGATACACTTTGTTTCAGACACTTCCAGGGATGTTTCTAGGACAGTAATACTGAGCTAAGCATATATTTGCTGAGTCTTGGAAGAAGGCCCTTTTTTCTTTCTCCCACACCAAAGCTGCTTTATAACCCAGGCTGCCAGAGGTCACCCTTCCCACTGTAACTCCCACAGAAATTGCTGTGTTTATTCTATTTTTCCTCCACACAAACACCAGGCTCTGCTTCAGCTAAAGCCAGCTATTCGGCTCCTCTTGCTGGGCAGAGTGCTCTCACTCCTCAGGGATGTGGCTTCCCTTCTTCTGCAGATAACCATGCACAGGGTGCTCGTTCCTAGCTTCCTACACAACTTTCCAAACTTGTGTGTGAGGAACTGAGACAGTGGTCACCCATCAAAACCAACAGCACTGGAGGCTGATCACTCAGAAGAAACAGCAAGGCTCTTCTGAACTGCCACTGTCTCATTCTGTCCATGAGCACCTTCACTGCTTACATCTTCAGTCCTGTGGCTGTCAACTCAAGACTACTGCTTTTTGAGAATAAAGCCCTTTAAGTGACTCCTCCCTATACAGAATAAATAAAAAAATGAGTGCATGGAAATAGGGAGGGAAGAGAGAGAAAAAGGATCTCCCATGAAGCAAGACAATTAAAAGTGTTAAAAATCAACTCTAGAAAAGAAGGTCCCACAATGTTTTTGTTTAGCAGCTCTATTTTTAAGCCTACAGATAAAAGCCAGGAAGCCACCATTACAATTTCCCCTTCCAAAGTACTTTGACAGCAAAAATTACATTTCCAAGATTACACACATTTGGTTTCTGTCAATGCTGCAGGAGATACCACAAACATACATGAGGTTTGTAACTTAAACAAACTGGAGATACGGGCCCCCTTGTAATCAAAGTGTAAATTCTGTTTTGTTTCTCAAAGATTATCTCTAGCCAGTGGACATTTTGTATAAACCAAGATTTGCTGAAGGGAGCAAGGGAACTCTCAGTGGATGTGTCACTGAAGAGGACTGATAATAGCATTCAACATATCAGATTATTATTCAAAAGTCTTTAAGAAAATATATTTGACACTTCATGACTGATATGTAAAGTTACTGTAAAGACTTAACAGAGATTATATGGTTTCATGAGAGAATCAGCAGAGCGTCAGACAGCAGAATGACACTGCTCTGAGTTACACTGACAAATCTGATCTATCATGCTGCCTTCATTCAGCTTCTGTGACAGGCAAGAGTATAAAACAGAAGTCAGTGAACCATCCCAGACCAACCATTGAAGTTATATGCCCAGATCTACAGAGAATACAAAAGCATATAATTTTGGTTCATTAAGTTTTGACTTAAGCATTACCAGGAAAAAAAAAAAAAAAGACAAACAAAAGGATAATTCGTATTCCCCAGCTGCAGCTTCTGTTACATCAACCTCAGTGTTGAGGTCAAGTGGGCAGAATAAACTTTACTGCATGCTACAAAGCACATACACCAGCTAAAAGGCTGCATTCAGAAACAATGGGATCAAAGTCCTACCCCCTTTGAGCTAAAAATGGCAAGAAGGCAGCTCTGTCCTTAGTGAGTGACATCCAGAGATCTATTAATTGCCAACTTCACTCCCATTCCTTTATCACTAATTTGCAGGCCAAAGACACCTTTCCCAGCTGAGCTGAAGGAGGTTCTGGATTTTGAGCTGCCCCAGTAAATCCAAACAAGGTATGCATGAAGAACCGTTTGGCAAAGAGCTGCAATACACATCTGCCACATCAAGCATTATCCAACTGCAACCTACTTAGTCAGAAGAAAAGGATTACTATGTGTCATTCTCTCTCCTCCCCAGACACAGACACTATTTAAAATGCACAACCAGAATTTTTGCACTATTTCAACCACCCAGCTCATACCTTGCTGCTGTAGCTGTGCTCTGCCCAGCCCTCCCAGACACTGTGGCAACCCAGTGCTCAGTCCACTACTTATTCCAAAGCCTCAACTCCCTACCAGTGTACCTTTCTCCTCTTTCCCCCTTCCCAAAAGAAGGCAGGCTTTTATTTTGCTCTGGTTCTACCTAAAATCTCCTGAACAAATACAGTAAAGAACTGGGACCAAAATATAGGGACAGATCTTGGTGGATCACTGGGAAAACAGTATGGACAGCAGAGAACAGTGCCTGTGTCCTTGGAACAGCCCACAGTACTACAGAGGAGGCTTTTTCTAGCAACAAAGAAAATGCAGCACAGGTAGGGCTGTCCATCTGGAAGGTGTGCACATATATAGGACAAAGGATCTGAGCTGTACAGTGCTCTGCATGACAGCCACATACACTACATGGTCAATACAGATGTACACAACAGATGTGGTACAAGGAAATCACAGGTGTTTGAGTGTTATGGATCACTTTTTCACAAGTGGCTAATATCTAATGTCCTTCTGCAACCACTAGAAGAGGACAAAAAAAGAAAGAAAACAAAAACCCCCACCAAAACAAGAACACAACAATTTCGTGTTCCTCTAGCAACACCACAGTGTTTTGCCCAGCTGAGGCCTCTTCTATACCTGAACAGCAATAGCTCTAAAACCAAAAAGCCACTTTAAAACTGGTTTTTGAATTCAGAGCAGAGTCAAGACAACCCATACAAAACTTGATCTAAAACCTAGCTAAGACAGTTTAAACACACCCATGTTTCTTGTCCCACCCATTTTAAGAGGAAGCTTAATGAAGTGAAACTTTTCACATAAAAAGAATTTATAATACAGCTATTAAACCATCATATGATTTACAGCAGAGCAAGATGACCTGCAGCCACCTTGGCAATGGTCATCATGTAGCAACAGGTCACCTCTGCAGTCACAGCGTAATGAGGACTGAAATATTTCCTCTGTCTTGCCCAGCCTGTTCACTAGCTGTGATACAACATACTGGCTGCAGAAAAATGAGGGATGAGACATTTGACTTCTTAAATTTTAGGAGGACTTAATGTCAATGACAATTATTTTTGGATAATTGCAGACCTTGACAACTGTGCTTTTTTTTCCCTTTT